TAAAATTAAATTAAATTTTTTTGTTGAAGATACAACAAAGGGAGCAAAACATTTGTTTTTAAGGGGGGAGGGGGGCTACACCTGAAGGCTATCTCGCTTATGACAAGACCAAATTTTACCAGATTTCCCACATAAAGCAAGCATAGTAAGGAGTCTTAAAATCGGCAATCAAATTTGAGAAAAAAGTGTTGTTTCCATGGATACGGCGGCCATATGGATTTTGTTGACATGTCTTGCGTAATGAATACCGCTCATATTGTTCCTTGAAATTGATTTTTTTTTGTCATGCGTGTTAACAAACATTAGATCTAAAAATTTGTCTATTTTTTTTTCCTAAACATATTAGAACATTTTTAATGAATTTTTTCCTGAGGTAGCATTCAAGTTTGCAAAAAATCCGTGAAAATCCACACTCTAGACACCACCAACAAAAATCTATTCCATATATCAAAAATTCAACAGAACATTTTTTAGTATTACATCTTTTCTTCATTCAGTGAAAATTTTATGAAGATTGGATGAAAAATGGTGCAGTTATTCAAAAAGTATAGAGAAAAGTCGCGTTTTGAGAAAAATGCCGATAAAGAAAAATAAAATATTGACTTAATGAGGAAAAGGTGGTGACGAACATGCCTGGTATGGGAAAAAATGCAGTTTTGGGGGCCTCTTATGCAATAAAATAGTTGTAAGAGAGGACGAGTAAGCTAAAAATGCCCACAACTCAAATTCCATAATTTTGAGCCGAATTGGGACTTTGGGGGTGTAGCCCCCCCCCCCCTTTTTTTTTTTTACTGTAGACCAAGAGTAATGTTGCAACACATTTCAAACCATAAAAAAAGATCAGAAACACTTCTTCTCTGCCCATTTCATAGAATGCATAATGTATTGTAACTTGCTTCCTTTTTAAGTTTCAAATGTAGAAAACAGAGTTGAAAAATCTATACGAATAACGAAGAACGTAATACCTTTTCATGTTTTCTGATATTATTAACACTACCCAAAACAATCTGCGTTAGTTTATTAAAATTGTTAACGTAATTCATTTTTTTTTTTTTTTTACCTCAAATACAAAATAGAACCTTATAAGCTTATTTGTTGCGTTGTTCCTATCACGAATCACGAAAAGCACGAACATAGCAAGCCTTCATCATAGGCCTATCATTAAACTGCTTTTTCGTGATGTTGAAAAGTGCATATTATGTGTGTGTGTTTGAGGGAAAGGGGGGGGGGGGGTAAAAATCGAAAATTCTCAAAATTTAATTTTTAGTGGATTGCTTACGACAGAGACGATATACAGCTCTTTTTAAAGGTACCCCAAAATCATCACATCCTCTGGTCCTCTTGGAGTTAATAAAAACCTCTCTGAAGTCCACACGTCGCCAGCTCATCCCCACTATTACCATTAATGCCCATTTCATTTCCTCCTGTTCTGTGGCCTTAAGTGTCTCCTCACATTTCAATCCTCCATCGTCAGTCATC